ATAAGGACTCAGGCTTAGCCAACATTTAGGCCAACATCTGCCATCAGATCTTAACTAAGTCAAAAGTGATTATCCTGTATAGCATTATGCATAAAAGAAAGATGGCTTAGAATTTGTTTGATAATGATATTTTTTGCTGTGGCTTTGGATAATGTTCAATCATTAGCTATAACATGAAATCTTGTTTGAGTGTATAGAAATATTTATTGCAACTCAAAGGAAATTCTGACCTTTGCTTTAGTCAGCATTTATCACCCAGGTAAACATATTTCAGTATAATGAGCAGAAGTCAAGATCTATTTACTAGAAGCCTAGAACATATCATTTAATCCTTCACCACACAGCCACTTACCCAGTGACTAACACAATAATTCTATAAAAATTACCCCCCGCCCCACATGCACACACACACGTTAAGCTAGGAATGTAGGACAAGAGCATTAAAATGTACATTAAAAATATTATTTTCCTTATTGGATACTTCCTTTTGTTCAAATTTTCAGTTTGATATCGGACCAAAGAAATAAGGAGTATTTATGTAGAAAGCAGCAGCAGAAAACTTAGCATCTTGACAGCAAAAAATTTGCACTTAGAAGAATCACTGTACAGGCAACACTCCTCTACTTGTTTCTGGGGGGAGGAGGACAGTATCTCTGGACTGAGCTCCCTGGGGGCTGGAAGAGTAGGTGACCACTTTCATGCAGGAAGAGGCGATAGTGTGTTGCTGTAGGCTACATTGTTTCTGATAAGAGAATGAGATCCAGGTCCTTATATCACCCATAAAGAACTATAGTTCTAGTGAATATTCTGCAGTTTTTATGCCAATGCCTGTCATATGTCTATTCTAGTATGAAATGCTTAAGGGAAAAAAGCAACACCATAGAGAAGATAAGCTGTGCCCTGTTCTCATGTATGGGCATGCAGCAAAGCAAACAGATGAGTTTGGATAAATGAAAATCAATACACTTGAAAAGGCCTCTTTCATTCAATTGATTCAAGCTCAGTGGGTAATAGCACGGTAGAATGTGAAATGGTGTTAACGTGGCCCTGGCGTAAATCCCATTTACAGGAAATACAGTAACTAGAGTGGATAAAAGCATGAAGGGATTTAATGAACCATAATGAACTCTTTACCATGGACCTTTTATAAATGCTTTTAATGTGGTCTTATCACCATACCATTTGAACTTTCAATGAGGCAAGATAACCCTTTACAGTTTCTATACATTTTTCAAAATCTAAGAAGCCGGAAGAGCAAAATGTAATCCTTGTCTTTAGAATTAAAAAGCATTTAGTGCCAGAGCTAGAAAAGTCTTATTTTACAGAAAAAGAAATGGGAATCACCTGTGGCATCATTTCTTGCTCAAGGGTGTATAGGAAAGTGTTGGCCAAGAGTTCATTCACCAGAACTCATGCAGTTCGTAATCCAGTTACTTTTTTCTACAAATTAATTAGGAGATGTTGGAATGACAAATGTGTAGACGGTTGCCAATGCTGGTGAGGCTGTGAGTAGGAAATGAGGCCACAAAATAATCTAAGCAGCTGGTTCCTGAATCATAGTCTCTCACTGCTGCTAACATTTTCAGAAATTCTGATGCAGGAAAAGGCCTATATTTTTTGACCTAGTAATTCTATTTCTGGAAGTCCATCTTGTAAAAGACAGTCTCACATGTGAACAGACAAAAAGTTAGACAAAGATGTTCATTCTGGTATTGTTTATGGTAGCAAAACTTACAAATGACATAAATAATCATCCATGGGGGACTGGTTAAATGATTATAGCACATCCACACAATAGATTACTATGAAAGTGTTCACAAATACATTGAGCTTGATCAATATGTACAGACAAGGGAAGACATACAGGATGCACAATTTAAATGTAAACCAATTCGTAGGATAATGTGATATGTAAAATGATGTTTATATTTTAAAAACCTTTATGTGTGCTCTGTGTGTCTGTCTTATATAACTTTCTGTTCTCTTCCATGGTTGTCATACTTGGAGATATGGGGACAAGAGAAGGTCTTGAGGAGCAATTAAGTGCAGCTGTGTAAGACTGAGAGAACATATTTTATTAGCTTTTATTTTTGGAAAAATGATACTTCAGTATTATGTAACACAATGCCTAGAAGGTGCTTTGGAATCAGATAAACAGGTTTGAATCCCATCTCTGCCTCTCACTAGTGGTATGATCCTGGGAACACTTCTTTACTCCCCTGACAGTCAGAACTAAATAAATAATTAAAGGTAAAACATCAAAGACAGTATGTGGCAAATAGCCCACAATAAATGGTAACAGCTGTAATTAGCTTGTGTTTAAATAAATTCAAATTAAATACAAAATACCAAAACAAAGTAAATAAATATCAACTAAATTCAACCACCTAAAGTTTACCTCTATTATAATTTAATGTCTTTCCAAAAAGCTCTGTAACATGCACTTTTTTTTTTTTTTGAGACGGAGTTTCGCTCTTGTTACCCAGGCTGGAGTGCAATGGCATGATCTCGGCTCACTGCAACCTCCTCCTCCTGGGTTCAGGCAATTCTCCTACCTCAGCCTCCCGAGTAGCTGGGATTACAGGCACGCGCCACCATGCCCAGCTAAGTTTTTGTATTTTTAGTAGAGATGGGGTTTCACCATGTTGACCAGGATGGTCTCGATCTCTTGACCTTGTGATCCACCCACCTCGGCCTCCGAAAGTGCTGGGATTACAGGTGTGAGCCACCGCGCCCGGCCTACTATGTATATACTGTATATATAGATTGACAATATTCTATAGACTTTCCCCATATCTATATAATATTGAGAATATTCTATAGGTTTTTCCTATGTCTATATAATAAATACAATGTGTATATATACACATGTGTCATTTTAACAGCTGAACTGTATTCCAATGAAAAACTGCATGTATCATACTTACCTAATTGGTTGCTTTCTAGTGAACATTTAAGTTGGCTTTAACTTTCCCCTGTCATAGACTTGACCGTAATGAATATTCATTCTTGTGCAAATGTTTTTTCATACTTGTTAAATTATCTAAAAGAGGGCATTGTAATGGATGGAAATGCTTGGATAAAATGGTATTTCTCTTAGAGAAAATAATATGAACAAGAACTGAGGGGAAGAAAAGTTCTCAAGGGAAGAGTAAAGTTTAGTTTTAGTCCAGAGCATGGAGTTTGGCACTTTTTATAGGTGATAGGGAGTTGCTGAAGGTTTTTAAACAAGGGAATAACATGATCAGAGCTAGGCTTTAGGAAGATTAATCTAGAGGCCGTCGGGTGACTGATGCAAGGTAGGAGACAGGAAATAAGTGAGAGCCAGATGGGAGGCCACTGCCAGACAGCAGGGGAGAAATAATGAGAGATTTGACAAGGGTGATGGTAATGAGAATATACTGACAGATACCAGAGGCCCTACAAGTGCTGAAGCAAATGGGAGGGCTTTGCAACTCGCTAAGGGTCACAGTCAGTGGGGAGGACGGCAAGGCAAGTTTGGGAGATGCCTTCATTCAGCCTTTGCATCTCCATCAGCAATGGTGCCCAGAGGGAGGACTGGTAGGTGGTTTCCCACACTGCTAGCAAGGGTACCTCTGGTGGTGACATTTCAGATGGTTTTATTTTTATTACTTATTATTTATTTACTTATTTATTTTGTGACAGAGTCTTGCTGCGTTGCCCAGGCTGGAGTGCAGTGGTGCAACTCAGCTCACTGCAACCTCACCTCCTGGGTTCAAGCGATTCTTGTGCCTCAGCCTCCTGAGTAGCTGGGATTACAGGTGTGTGCCACCACTCCCAGCTAATTTTTTGTATTTTTAGTAGAGACAGGGTTTTGCCACGTTGGCCAGGGTGGTCTCAAACTCCTGACCTCAGATGATCCGCCTGCCTTGGCCTCCCAAAGTGCTAGGATCATAGGTGTGAGTCACCATGCCTGGCCTTCAGATGGTTTTATATTGCTCTTTATGCTTATTTGCAATTTTAATTTTCTGTGATGATCATGTATTATTTTAATTTAATGTTTCCACAATTAACATGTATTATCTTTGCTTGGAAAATAGTTACATAGGTTACTTTTTAAAAATTTAAACATAGAGATGTATATAAAGTAAAAAATAAAAGGATCCCCCTTCCATTTCCCATCAGACACTCTCAGGACAGTAACTGTTTGGAAGTAAAAATAAGGATGCAGTGATGGATTCAAGAGTTAGACTACGTATGATTTGGCAAAGATAGGAGAAGGGGAAGGAGTCAAGGATGACTGAGTGAATGGGAGATTGGCAGCGTTTTAATAGACACAGTTAGGGTGAGAGGGAGAAACAAGATAAATTTTATGTTGAGTTTGAGTTGGCTGTGGAATATCCTGATGGAATCCTCTGGAGTATTTGGTGGAATTGTAGGCATGGCATATGGAAGCAACTTCTTTGGAAGCAATGGCAAACATAATGGGGATAGATGAGGTTTTCATTGAGGACACAGGGCAGATGGTTAAGGACTATGGTTCAGAATTGTGGTAATTTACACTTTTAGGGTTTGAAGGAGGAAGGTGAACCAATGACGAGAGAAACAGGAGAATTAAGTGCAGTGTAAAGGATGACAGGAAAGAGAAAGCTTCAAGAAAAAAAGTGGTAAGCAACAGGACAAAGTGTGGGAAGCTGCTGTTGAAGTGCCTATTAGAAGTTCCAGAGACCTTTAAGTGAGTGGGTTTCAGAGCGATGCTGTGATTGCTGCTTTCATATTAACTTGAATGTTTCTGCAGTGCAGGAGGCAATGCCACTGCTTGGAGTCAGGTTAGGGGGTTGAAAATAGAGCTGTACATGCAAGTTCAGAAGAGCCAAGCAGAAAATTTCATCAGCAGTGAGGGGCCAGCATTGGAAAACAGCATTGAAACTGAGTTCAATCAACATGGTTTGAGAACTTCAAAAAAAAAAAAGTTTGCTAAATAGTGTTTCCAGGGGCTGGAAAGTGCCAATGCAGTTTCAGCGGGCAGTCAAGGAGTTGAGGGAGTGGCCGGGACCGGGCGGGTGAAAGGGTGGGTGATTATCCCGGGAGATAGGCCCAAAGGGCCTCAACTATGACCTCAACCAGCCAGGATTCCACCACAACCAGGCAGCGAAGAAGTAGGCAGAACCTCCAGTCATCCCCTCAGGACTCTAGTGCCACTTCAAAGCGAAACATTAAAAAGGGAGCCATTCCCCGCTCCATCCCTAATCTAGCGGAGGTAAAGGAGAACAGCAAAATGAAGAAGGTTGGCCAAGCAATCAAAGAAGACCTAATCATGGGACTGCAAGGGATGGATCTGAACCTTGAGGCTGAAGCACTGGCTGGCACTGGCTTGGTGCTGGATGAGCAGCTAAATGAATTCCATTGCCTCTGGGATGACAGCTTCCCAGAAGTCCCTGAGTGGCTCCATACCAACAAGGAGCAACTGATCCAGGAGGACCTCCAAGGTTTCTGCGTGTCCTTTCAAGCCTGGTTTGCTGAAAAGGAAGAGGTGATGTTCACAGCCTAGAATATATTGATCTGATGGAAATAACCCAGTACATGAATGAGGGAGAACTCTGTGTCCTAGCAGACACCAGTGATTCAGTTCATCTTCATCCGAAATCATACTCCTGCCCCTGCCTGGCCTCGGGCTCTGTCCTCAGGCTGGTGGATGTGGTCCTGGGGGCTGAAATACAGAATGGCATGGCCATCATTAGGCCTCCTGGACATCATGCCCAGCACAGTCTTACAGATGGCTATCGCATGTTCAGCCATGTGGCTGTGGCAGCGTGCTATGCTCAACAGAAACACTGCATCTGGAGGGTCCTTATCGTGGATTGGGATGTGCATCAGTCAAGGAACACAGTTCACCTTTGACCAGGATCTCCCCCTGCCGGCTTGCAGGGGCACCACTACTCCAGCCCAGAAGGAAAGTGAGGCAGCTCAGTGGCCCCCAAGAGGGAGCTGATATGAGGATAACATTGGTGGGAGGGGTTTTGGGGGGACAGGGAGTTAACTGGCAGGCATGGCAAGGTTGCATATATAATAAAGTACACGCTGTTAACAAAACCTAATAAAAAGAAAAGAGTTGAGGGACTCCAGGGTGCTTGCCTGGCATTGAGCCCTACTGGGCAGTAGGGTGAATGAAATTAGGAAGTGTGTGAGGCCCTTGTCCAGAAGAAATGAAGATCCAGGAGAAAGGGTGAATGATTGGCTGTCAGGATAAGGGCAAGGATGTATTTCGCAGGAGTGAGCATGTGCACAAGCAAGAACTACCCAAAGGAGGGAATTTCAGGGTTTCGGACATTTTAGCTGGGGTAGTTTATAGCATTGTGATTTCCCAGGTATTAAAGTAGAATGGGGATGAAACTTCTGGGGTTCCACAGATCTGGGAGGTTTTAAGTCAGTGCTGAAAGATCGTCAATATGTATTTTTAAAATAAAATTATTTAAGTCTACTCTGTCCCAAATATTATGAAAGTGGGTAATAGTATACCAATTTACAGATATGGAATGAGTCCCTAGAAGTGTTTAATAAACTTGTCTGGAATCATCCATGTAGTATTGGGTGGAAAAAAAAAAGAGTTTGGTATACCAAGAACTCCCTGGTTTGCTTGAACCAGGGAGGCAGAGGTTGCAGTGAGCTGAGATTGCCTATAGTCTCTGGGCTACAGAGACTGCATCTTAAAAAAAAAAATTGGTATATATACTTGGTATATCTACTTCTGGATGATTTTTCCTATATGTTTGTATCAATATATATCTGAAAGTACCTAGATGGAATCTGTGTGAATATGAGATCATTCTAAATAATCATTGATTGCAACTTTGTTTTCTTCAGCCACTTGTTTTCATTGGCTGCAGTGTATTCCACAGCATGGGGGTGGGTGGCTGGAGAATGGCAGCGTCTTCAATAGACGACGGAAGGCAGTAGGTGGAAGAGGTAATGGTGGGGGGAAGGTGAGCAGTTAATTTGTAGGTTTGGTGGGTTTGAAGCCCCAGGTTGGCAATTGGAAATGAAGGCATGAAAAGGTAAAAAGAAAAAAGAGATACAGTTCTTAGAGGAAGGGATGCAGATGGGATAAACATGAAGAGGCAATTCCATTTACTAAGGGAAGGCTGTTAACCAAGAATCAACTACCATTTGTGGAGCCTCGCAATGTGCCCAGCAGAGTGCTGCCCTTAACCCCAGGGATCAGTGTCTCTGACTCAGAAGAGTTGGCCTGGAACTTTCTGCTGCTCCCAAAAGCTAGATAGTCCTCAAGGTCCACGAACTTTCTGAAACAGGTCAAGTTGCAAAAGGTCCATGGCATTTGTATGATTGACACAGACTTCCTCTAACCCCCATAGAATAATGTCCTACTAACTTATTTTTGCAACATGGCAGAGGAACACTACAGATTTTTTTTCTCTACTTCAAACTAGGGTGCACGAAAGGCCCTTTGCAATTAGTTTCAGCCAGTCTTTCCAGTTTTATCTCCAACCAATTTGCTTCATAAACCTTGCTCATAATTCCCCCAACATAGAGTGACCAACTACTCAAGTTTGTCCAAGACTGAGGGGATCTTGGGATGTGGGACTTCCATTTAAAATAGATACAGTTCCAGACAAACTGCATCTGCCAGGAACCAAGGGAGTTCTCAGGACGTAGGACTTCCAGGGCTAAAACTGGAAATGTCTAGGTAGACAGGGACATATTGATTGCCTTACCAGATATAGTAGGCTCTTCTGTGCCCTTATATATGCTGCTTCCTTTGTGTGTATTATTCTTTGAGTCCTCTACAGAACACCTATTCATTCTCCAAGACCCACCTTAATTTTCCTCAGGGTTACTTTTGCTCAGCTTTTCCGGGTAGATTTATTTGATCACTTTCTTTGTGTCTTTGTTGGTTATCTCCATGCTATGCTCCACAAATACACCTTTATCTTCCTTTGGGGACCTCACCTTATGTGGTTTGGATGGAACTGACCTCACCCACCCTCAAGGGCAGATCCTTGTTGGCTTATGCTCGTCCACAACCTGCCTTCCGTAAGCCACAGCAACTGTTCAGACAAAGGCATAGGAGAGAGTGGGAATTCTAAAACATGGAGAGCTACTAGAAATTTCCTCTTGCTGCTCTTGGATAACATAGTGAGAAACCATGAAGTGTGGAACAACATGCTATTTTGTAGCCCAATGGGTGATGCTAAGAGTTGATGAGAAGCCGCCATGGAGCCTGAGTCAGTGCCCAGTATTAGTTTGCTAGGGCTGCCATAATATAGGACTACAGACTGAGTTAAACAGAAGACATTCATTTTCTCAGATTTCTGGATGCCAGAAGTATGAGATCATGGTTTTGGGAGGGATAGTTTCTTCTGAGGCCTCTCTCCTTAGCTTGTGGATGTTCCTCTTCTCCCTGTGTCTTCATGTGACTTCCTCCTGTACATGCCTGTGTCCAAACCTCTTAAAGACACAGTTGTACTGGATTAGGTCTCACACTCAGTAACCTTTAAAAGATCTATCTCTGAATATAGTTACATTCTAGGTACTAGAGGTGCCTAGGATCAGCAATAATTCTGTTTTAGATACATAAGCTAATAAATTAGCTTTTTTGTTTGGACTGCCCTGAGTTTTAGTCTTACTTTGGGTCTTTGCATTGAAATATTTCTATCTGATACAGGCTCATCACAGCTTTTTGTTATGTATAATTTTTCGCATGGTACCTTAATAGCTTGTTCAGCTACTGATCTATGGCAGTTATGTGTAGTGTTTTTCTGATGAGGACTTTTACTCATATTTTGTATCTCCGTCCCTTTAGATTTTGGCACATAGGAGATGCTCAGTGATATCTGTCAAATGAATAAAGACTGATTCGCATTATGAGCAAGAAGTCTGGAAAAGCAAGGATCCCCTCAATCTTCATTTTATTAAATTTTTTGATTCATATTTTCTGGGCCATAACCTTAAAATGGCTGCAATTAAATCTCTGAGCTTTGATCCCAGCATTATAAAACCACCATGGAGCCCAGGAGACCATACCTGGGATAGCAGCATGAGGACATCTAAGAGGGTGAATAATGTGAATGAGCAGCAAGCATGATTGAGTACTGAGTATGCAGAGAGTAAATGTGCCCTCATTACATTTTGCATAATAGAAAAGAGAGAAGAGAAACTTATAATCATCTTCTTTGAATCATCAAATACACGTGTAATTCTTGATGCCAAAGTTTAGAACAATGAAGAATATACTTACAGAAATAGCATAAAGGTATTCAGTGAAAACGAGTCTACATGAAGATGCATGTTAAAGTGCATTCAGAACAAATGCACAGTCTCAGAGCAGATCTCAGGCTCTGCTTATTTCAGCAGAGCACAATTTCAGGAAAGCCCCTGTACTTTCTAGCAAATATGTAGCTCCCTCAGGAATTTATTATTATTATTATTTTAAAGCAGATAAAAGAATACTTTCAGTTTTCTCTCTCTTAACTTTCTAGCTCCATGGATAAAGGTTAATTCCCTAATGGGATTTCACCATCATTTATCGTGTTAAAATGTCATGAACTGTTCTTTAGTGTGCAAGTTCTCTAAGCAATTACCTTCATGTGTTTTTCACTGAAGGTAAGTTTGGCGTCAATCCAGAAAAGTCTTTACTACCTATTACAAGGAGCTATTACAACCAGCCTAAACCATTAACTCTTTTTTTATTAAAGTCACTTCATCTGTTAGGAGGCTGAACTAAATGTATAACTTTTAAAAATTGCCCACACTGAGGCCACTTGTTACCTTATTCTTTGTTTCCAGGAGCCAGAGGGAAAAAGCAGCCAGGAGGCCACTCTTGTGTCCTGAATACTTTGCCTACTGAGATTACTCTCCTGGGCTTGTAGTTTGTCTTTGCGGAGGATGCAGTTAAACACATCCTCCAGGAAGTGCCCTCAGCAGCTGGAGTGAGGTCCTGGAGAGTGGACCTTTCTCGGGAGAGGGATGTATGTGGTCAGGCAGGTGGGGCCACCTGTTCCTGAGAAAGGACAACTACTGGGGAGGACAGAAGGGTTGTCACTGGATCAGTGCCATGAGTCACACAGACACATTTGCATTAAGATAACTAATGATGATTTCATATTATAATTATTTTTAAAGTTTCTTTTAGATTATTTCCTCAGGGCTCTGCATCACTTTGCAAGTATGTGCATGATAAAGTGCTTAAAATACCTTGCACAGAAGATGTCCTCAAAAGTTTTATTAATTGCTAAGGCAAGTTTGAGGTTTAATATATTTTTGCCAACATTCTTTAAAAATACTGTAGTGCTCCTTTATCTGTGGTTTTGCCCTCTGTAATTTCAGTTACCTGCAGTCAACTGCAGCCCAAAAATGTGTGAGTAGAGAAGGGTAAGATATTTAGGGGGCACGTTTACATAAGTTTTATTACATATATTGTTATAATTGCTCTATTTTATTATTGTTGTTAATCTCTTACTGTGCCTAATTTATAAATTCAACTTTATCATAGGAATGTATGAACAGCAAACATGTATAGGAAATAACATAGTATATATAGGGTTCAGTACTAATCAGAGCTTTGGTCAGCCATTGGGGTCTTGGAACATATCCTTGAGAATAAGGGAAGACAACTGTACATATTTTCCTTTGACACCTCATATTTTCCTTAATGATATAACTCTGTTGAATCAATATTTAATACATGATATTTTAAATCAGATATTAATAAAACTAAACAATCTCTTTATAGCTTCCTCCCTTCCTGTCATTAAGGACTTCTCTTGCTCCTCCAATCCCGCTCATACCTGCTCACTAAATGAATTGTCCCATTCATTTAGTAAAGCACAGCACCAATGTTGCAACTTCCCTACTTCCAAAATGTCATGCACATACAAAAAACATAGAAATAGCACAAACATAAGAAATAATAATTACAAAGAATGTTAAAGACAAATACTCACCATCATTTTGCACCAGGATATCACTTTATTCATTTAACATGCGTCATTAGTACAACTCACAAATACATCCTAATTTGTCTATAATGATCTTCAATTAGATGAGCTATTATTCTTAGAATCTCCTACTCTTTAAAAGCAGCATTCCCTAATGAAGTTGCAGCTAATTATAGGCACGGTCATCAGTAACCACATCCAGAATTTCTCATCATCGCTTATTTTAAAAATACCGTGTATAAATGAATATATTTAACATTTACAGAGACAAATGGTGTCTGCAAGCTTTTGTAATATGGGAAAAAATTCATATAGTAAAAAATTTCCCAATCATAATTATATTAGGGTTTTATTTTGCTACTTTATTTAGATAAAATTAACTTGATAAATACATACCATGTTAATACAATGTTGTTATATTGTGTGCTTCTATAAAATCCTTTATTAAAAATCACGATCTTTAGAAATTTCTGCATATTTTTTTATGAACATACACATTTATGATTGATACATGTGACTTTCTCATTCTTTGATACTTCTAAAGTCAGGTCAGGGTGACCAAGAAGTTTGGGAAGGAAAAACCTTAATGAATTACTTTATGAAGTGAAAGTCTGTTACCCCGTTAAACTCAAACCTCTCACCCTGAATATTTATTAACAACTTCTTTACACTTCTGCTCTCTTCCTTCTGTTCTCCCAAATGAACTAGAGGAGCATCTATACATAGGCATATAGGCATTAGGTATCACTTAAAATGTAAGAAAAGATCTCTAACCTTCACAGGATAGAGAAAATGAGGTATAGATTTCTTCTAACATCTCTTTTTGATGGAGGAAAACTTTCTGGGATATACATAAAGCATTTAGTTGGCAATGAATTTTGTTCATCTTTCCAAACCAAAGTGTGAAAGCTCTCAGTATCCAGATGAAAAG